AGGTTAGTAAAGAGGTAATTCAGAGAATTAGGGAGAAGAAAACTTCGAGATCAAGAATTATTCTCAACTCCTGATAATAGTACTCCTAATATTTCGCGTGAGCAAGGTTTAATACAAGAAATATCGTCATCTATCAAAGATCTAAATTATGATAATTCCGAAATTTCAGCGAACAATGTTCGTCCAAATTGTGATAATTCTGAAATAACCCGAGACTGAGACCCAGGAAATTACCTGTCTATATCAAAATGCATATGTTACGGGAAAAGATGCAATCGAAGCTAATCAAAATGGAATATCATGTTGGTGTTTGTATGCTAAAAGATTCAAAGGCATGGTTAAAGATTTTATAATCAATGATGAATATTGGGAAGAAGAAAGCGAAGGGTCGAGTATACGATTTTATTATCAAACAAGTCCCTGGTATCAGGCGTGGAAATTTATGTAAGCAAACACAAAAGGCTAACCTATAGCGCAGATACTATTTCAAGGTTTACTAATTTACAGATTCAGAATATTATTGATCATTTCGCCAAAAAGCCTGACATAGAATATTCTGATGACCTAGACGATTCGGATAACTTACCCGAAACTGAGGTAAATATACTTACTGAAGAGACAAAGTCTCGAGTCGGAGACTCATCGATTCCTTTAGACCCAACGGGTCATTGCTCGGCAATAGATTCCCAAGAAAATAATCAAGATGAGTCAAAGGCTCGAAACTCTGCTTCCAGAAGCTGAAGTAAGTATATTACAGGTAAATACATCTAACCACCTTGCGACCGCCTCTAACGATAAATCTCGACCTCCTATCTCTATTTTACCCGATGACCCAAAACATGTTATCAAAATGGTATTGGAGCGTTTTTCTCATTTATCTTTAAAATATAGTAATGAATAAGGTAATTACTTTACTTGTTCAGAGATACAGTATGTCCCATATGCAATAAAGATCATAAAAAAGAAAATATAAGAGATAATGTAAAAGGCGAATGGGGTAGTGGGGATTATGTTGATACCGAAACTTATCGTATCAAATGCTGAGAGGCTTTTCAAAATTCGATCCAAATAGTAACGGTGAAAGCATAGGCTACTGATTTCGAATATTAATGTCACCCGAAGATGTAGTCAAAAAAAAAAAAAAAAAACAAACTTTACTAGTTCTTGACCAGCTATTACTAGCTTAGAGACTTACATTTTTTCTCCGACAGGATGATGCGGAGATAGAAATATGTTAATTAATCTTATCATATAAGTCAAAATAACATTGACGCACATTGCTTTTAACGTATGATTTGGGTGACATGATAAAACTGGAATATTAAAGAAAAATACTAATTACTGTATAATTCTATGTAGCAATTTTTTGGGTTTTTATTGGTAGTCCTATCGTACAAGTCCTGTAATCGTCGTCTTTTGTTCTTTAACAAATATATTTCTATGTAGCAATTTTTTGGGTTTTTATTGGTAGTCCTATCGTACAAGTCCTGTAATCGTCGTCTTTTGTTCTTTAACAAATATATTTCCTATGGAAACTGAATCAATGAAAGAAAATAAACAAGCATCCGAGTTTTAGCCTTTCTCCTTAATTACGTTTGTAACCAACTTCACTTTTTATATTATACTTACAGTCCTGTTTGAACATGCTAGAGTCGTGTCGAGAGCGTTTAACGAAACTTGAACCATAAAGTTTTCAGATAAAGCTGGCATCGTAAGGGTTTCAAAAAAATTAAATGGATCTCCAGCTTCGAGTAATTTATCTAGTACTATGGGACTGCTGTCATGGGTCTCGAGGGTATCTGTACATACAAAAATATCAAGATTGAATGTTCTTGGAGGATCAATAAGGAAGTGTCCAGCAACTTCGAACGTAGCATTAGCATTCGAAACTAGGGGATTGGGTGTAAAAGATATGCTGAGTTCTTGGGGTATACGTGGGTCACATGAAACAAAGCCATCATTCTCAAAACCGTCATCACGTCGATATGGAAAAGCATTAATATTAACGACGTAAAGCGTTGCCAAGAACATGAATAGAAAAATGGAAATTTGCTTCATAGTAGCGTTTTACACAAATGTCTGTTGTTTCTCAGCATCAAGAAACCTTGGGCTTTTTATAATTGCTCGTTTCTCAAGGGTACGCACTTGACAATTCGGCAGCTTTTATTCAAAACGAGGATAACCTGTACATGAAGGATTTGCGATCGTTTGTAAAACCCGATACGATCTCTCGAGATTATATTTTTTAATAACGAAGGAGACTGTATTATCTTTAATTTGATGTAGTTTCGAAGGTTATCTTATTAAGCTTTTCCGATGCAGGTATTTTTTTGAAGCCAGTAAGAACTAAACCCGCGTTATTATAGATTTTCTTTACTACGTGACACAAAAGCAGGGTTTAATCATTACCCGTTCCGAAAGTGATCTTCGACAAATGCTGATTATTTAAAAGAACAATAAATAGTTCTAAACTAGTGTATTCTCGTTAATCGACTGGCAGAAGTGCTTGATATTAAATTACAAAATTGATTTGGACATAAATTGTTGCGAATATTGGTAATTTTATATTGACGAATGAACGATTATCTATAATTTATTTGTAATTTAGGTATCATTATGTATTTAATGAAACGCCTTTTGGGGATGAAAAGTTTGATAGAGGTTTAGTATGCGATATTATGGACAGACTAAGGCCATCGATGCCTGATTCCGCACCAGAGGAATAAAAGAAATTCTCCGAGCGGTGTTGTGATGACGATCCTGATAAGCGTCCTGATGCATGGAGACTTTCGAATGATATTTGCGGTCTTATTATAAAGTCAAAGAAGGAGAATTCTGATGACAACACGT